GTGGCCCCTGGGCTAAGAAGGCAAGGACTGAAGCGGCTGGTCAAACAGGCCTAAACCCCCCCCCTCTGCCACCCCCAAGCGCAGCCTCTGACCAGAGGGGGAGAGGAGGAGTGGGGAATAGCAATCGTCTTTAGCCAAGGTGGAGCTGAAGATCAGGGAATCGATCCTGTGACAATCCCCCAGAATATATTCTGCTCAGTTGTTGTGCGGAGGAAAGGGAGGGGGGCAAGTGTAATTTGCTGCACAAACATTGTCGGGCTGTGTTTCCCCCACTCCCACCGCCTCTTTTAAGAATTGCATTGATCCCAGTGCATAAAGCGCCCATAAATCCATCTAATATCCCGGCTTGATTGATTATTGCCCTTTGAAAGGACTCTGGTCCAGGACTGCAAATTTCGAAAATGATATTGGTAAATTACACATAGCGTCGCAAAAGTCGGGGGGGGCAGCATGCAAACAGGAGCAGGGGAACTCGAGCGCATGCGGCGCTCCCCAAAACCGGGGATCAATTTGACATGCGTGCATGGATGCAACCAGAGCGCCTACGGAAAAAGACATGCAAAAAAGGCAGTGCCGTTGCAGCCCAGCAGAATATTGTGCCCCTAGTACAGCATGCAAAAGAAGATATGTAATATAACGTTATCGCAAACAGGCACAAACAGGACAGGTAATATGCACACATCTAGGGAAAAGGGCATGTGGAGGGAAGGCATAATGGCCTTACACACAGATTTGCATCTCCCCAAATAGAGTTACCATACAAGTTAATTTCCCCTTACATTTCCCCCAAAAAAAGTCATCACAGAGACATTAGAAAGGGCAGGCACAGAAATGTATGCTGGGCAAGAAACGTATGAGAAACAGAAGGGAGAGTGATGAATGCAGATAGAAAATACGTAATTTGCAAGTGGACCCTTGTTAATGCATGCAAAAATGGATCTTATGTACTAAAAGGTAACACACAGTTTGATGGAGAATGAGCAGCGTACATACCGTAAGTTAACACATGCACATAAATAACGCACAGGGGCTAAAAGGCACAATTCATACGCACACTGACCTGCACATGCAAAGGTTCAGCCAGGGAAAAGTTGCACAGCTGTTTTCCCACACAGGCAGAAATGGCACGTGAGCATACGTACAAAGCACACTTACAAGGAGTTTAGTGTGAGATGCTGGTAGATCTTTCATTTCAGTAAACGTTCAGAGCGACAGAATTTATGGGCAAACGAGAGAGAGAGGAAACTATCCCTCTTCCCAACCCAAAACCAGCCTGAACAACTCATCCGAACAACAATTTTGAGGGGAAGGTTGGCGAGGTAGAACACAGACTTGCATTTCCCTGCTTGTTCTTTTTTTTTTAATTGCTCAGAAAATGCAGATTTTAATCCCTTCTGAAGGAAATTCAGACTCCTGTGAACTCTGGGGGCAAAAGTTAAATTTTGCATAAAGGAGCATTATTCTGTAAAGGTTCTTTTTTAAAAACACACAAACAAAAAAAAAAAAACCCACCCCTCCCAGTAAAGATTGCAAAATAACAGCCCATAAATCAAATGGCTCTTCTTGCTCTTCAGCACAGAAGAAAGTGCAAAAGTAAATGACAGGGGCTGGGGGCGCTGAGATGTGTTGCTACTGAGATATATTGGACTCTTTGGGTTGTTAGCTTCTGGGCATAACGGCAGCAAAGGGGACTTCTAAGACAGCTCCGTTTTGTCACAAAGCAGGAACAAATCAGTGTTTAATAAAGTTGTGCACAGAGACATACGTGGACCCCAATATATAGGCAGATACAACGTGTGTGCAAGAATGAAAACACATGAGCACAGAGGATCCTGAAAATAACATTGCTATCTTGAGCATCTTCATGAGGAACAGTGGGGTGCAAATGGAACAAAGAAATGATCAGTGGTTTCCCCCCCCCAAAAAAAAATATTATTGCATTTATATCGCACCTTTGTCTCCAAGGAGCTCCACGCAACATACATGGTTCTCCCCCTCTTCACTGAATCCCCACAACAACCCTGCGAAGTAGGTTATTTTTATTATTTTAGTTTTTATTTATACTTTTCAAGTTTATACATTTCACTAGTTTTACAATCAATTTAACATTTCAAAGTTTGACTTCCTTCCCTCTCTTTCTGCGGTTCCTTAAATTTATTTTCTTTAATATCTTCTGCATAGCCGGATTCATTTAATTTGCTCATTTAACCGTCTACTTTAAATATATACTCTTATGAAACTGCAGGTTATTACAATATTCCTGCCAAAGTTTTTATCTGGTTGCATTTTATCTGTAAATATTCAATAAACCATTTCCATTCTTTTATAAAAAGTTTGTTACCTTGATTTCTTATTCTTCTGGCAAATTTCGCCATTTCTGCAATATTCCATAAGTTTTTGTAACCATTCTTCCTTTGCTGGGACTTCTGCTTCTTTCCACTTTGGGGCAAGTAGCATTCTTGGGCTATGGTAGCATACATGAATAAATTTCTATACAATTTAGGTAGTTCTGTCTCTATAATTCCCAAAAGAAAAGCTTCTGGGTTTTTTTTTACAAAAGTTATTTTGAACATCCTTTTCAATTCATTGTATATCATTTCCCAGTAAGCTTTAAGCTTGCTACAAGACAACCACACCCGGCAAAATAGGTTAGGCCGAGAGGCAGTAGCTGGCCCAAAATCACCCATAGAGCTTCATGGCTGAGTGGGGAATCAAACCTTTGTGTTACAGCTCCTAGGCCAACACTGTAACCACTACACCACAGTGGTTGAATAAAATGAGCTACTTATACTGAGTCAAAATCACTGGTCCATCTAGCTCAGAATTGTCCCCACCTGTCCAGGGTTTCAGGCAGAAAGTCTCTCCACCCATACCTGGAGATGCCAGAAATTGAAACTGGGACTTTCCATATGGAACACTGGTGCTCTAAAACACTGAGCCACTGGTCTTCCCCTAACATAATACTAACATAAAGGCTGATACCAAAGAGAATATAAGCCAAGCACTGATTCGAACATTGATACCCATCTTTCACACAAAAGAAATGGGCTTGCAGACCTGCATGCAGGTGCTCACCGATAGAGGGATGCGGGTGGCGCTGTGGTCTAAACCATTTAACGTCTTGAGCTTGCCGATCAAAGGTTGGCAGTTCGAATCCCCACGACGGGGTGAGCTCCTGTTGCTCTGTCCCAGCTCCTGCCAACCTAGTAGTTCGAAAGCACGCCAGTGCAAGTAGATAAATAGGTACCGCTGTGGCGGGAAGGTAAATGGCATTTCCGTATGCTCTGGCACTCTTCACGGTGTCCCGTTGTGCCAGAAGTGGTTTAGTCCTGATGGCCACATGACCCAGAAAACTGTCTGTGGACAAACGCCGGCTCCCTCAGCTTGAAAGCAAGATGAACGCCTCAACCCCAGAGTCGCCTTGGACGGGACTTAACTGTCCAGGGGTCCTTTACCTTTTCCCCCCTTTTTTATTTTTTTGCTCACCCATGGCAGCTAAGGAACTGGCCGCATCAGCACTGAGAAACTTGCATGATCCTGTCTTACAGACAAGCACCTTTGAGGAGAAAAAGGGATGCATCATATATCCATAACAGCATAATCATAATCATAGCACAGCTTCTTGGCGAAAGGTGAAATGAATTTGGCCCTTTTTGCAAGATATGTCTTCAATCAATCATTTTCCCGCCTTAGAAGCCTGATCCAAAATCTCTTGCAATTGGTGGGGCAAAAGCATTGTCTTAAATACAACCCATTCCTGTTTTCCCACACACAGATGTGTGAGTTTTGTGTGTGTGTGTGTGTGTGCATTGTACTTTCATCTTCCTCTCTCGTTCAAATCTGTGTTTTCTGTTCATGTATAAAACTCCACCTTTCCTACATCACCCATACGTGATACAGGCAGAACTCACATGCTTAAAGCGTACATGTATCTCTCAACTGATTACCAAACATGCGTGGAAAGAAGCAGAAGTTCCAGCAAAGGAAGAACGGATACAAAAACTTATGGAATATGCAGAAATGGCAAAACTTACCAGATGAATAAGAAACAAACTTTTTATAAAAGAATGAAAATGGTTTATGGAATATTTACAGATAAATTGCAAACAGATAAAAACATTAGCAGGATTATTGTAATAACCTGCAGTTTCATAAGAGTATATATTTAAAGTAGATGAATAAATGAGCAAATTAAGTTAACTTGGATATGCAGAAGATATTAAAGAAAATAAATTGAAGGAACTGCAGAAAGAGGGGTAAGGAAGTCAAGTTTTGAAATGTTAAGATGATTGTAAATAGTGAAATGTATAAACCTGAAAAGCATAAATAATTTTTTTAAAAAATGTATCATTATATATTTACACATGTACATGACAAATGCTATCTTCTCTTTTATATGCGCACTCCTTAAATTACTCACACATCTTTCTTCTGTGCACATCTTAATGTGCACTATTTTACCTTACACAAACATGTAGCAGCAATGCCGCACACACAGAGACGCGCACACTCTCTCTCTCTCCCTTCCACACCTGTCTATATCGTTTCCATCAATATATACCTATAAGTTCCTAATATGCCTCTTTCTCTCCCCCCCCCCAAATCTGCTCTCTGTGCCGTCTCAAAAAAATGAACCATTAGTTAAAACGGCATCTCTCTCTCTCTCTCTCTCTCTCTCTCTCTCTCTCTCTCTCTCTCTCTCTCTGGTGTGTGTGATGGGTGTTTGGGGAGAGGGGGGAAATAATTGATTAATTAATGAATGTGATGGCTTGCAGCCCCTCCAGGAGATTCCTGCTGGATCTGTCAGCTGTTAATCAATCTCCGCCGAGAGAGGCAAAAGAAGGCACAAAGGTAAAGCACTTAATTGCATGGGGGAAATGATACAACCCCGGCATATAAAACACATCCTTAAACATGACTCTAGATGCCAGCGGGGCTGCGGGATGCAGGCAGTGAGCCCGGTCCAGGAGATGGAATGGGTGTGAGGAGGAGGAACACAGCATCAGTCATTCCACGCCGATGCAAGTGCCCCCCAAAACAAGGCAAATGACGGTGTGTGCACCTCTCTGAGAGCTCCTTTTGTTCCTTACAGGGAGATGACAGTGATGTTTGTCCACATGGATCCCCACCAGCAGCACCTGAGGATGGAGGCCTCCGGCCCCCCACGTTCCTGACAATCCGCCCCTGGCTCATGCAAATGCGAGCAGAAGCCCAGGCTGCTATGGATGGAATGAGACACTTCCAGGCTCCAGGCAGATCTCGCTCAGTGGCTGAGCCTCGCCTCCTCTGTGAAGCAGCAGAGGTCGCTCTGCTTGGCTTAAAGCTACTTTTTGCATCTTGGGCAGCTCAGTCCGATCTCCTCTTCTTGAGTTTGTGGGAAAGGCTTTGCATGTGGTAGGGAGGGGTGCTGGGTGAACTGGTGGTTGAGAAACCTCCCTCTCTCCCTCTCCTTCTCTCTCTCCCTCTGGTTTTCCCGTTGATGGCCATATGATCTGGCACCAGGAGCCTGGAGCTGCTACCCGGTCACCAGCTGAGTTCTCAAGTGGAGGAGAGAAAGGAAGGCAAATATATATACATACATATTCATGCATGCACACACTCACACACTCACAAACACACTTGTTTTCCCCTAGCCATCTCCATCCCTAACGCATCTCCTGCTCCTGCCGCCGCCGCCGTTCCCAACGAAGTGTGACTGAGCCAAAGAGTCTACTGTAAACTGAAGCAAGTCTCTCGTGGAGGGAAGAGACAAGAAGGAAAGCAGCGCAGCCGAGCAACGTGGGTTTGCCTTGCCAGTCAACAAGTGCCCCTTTTGGAAAGGGAGGCCGTCGAAGTGGAGCACCGCCATCCTCCTCCCCTTCCTCACTCCAAGGACGCTAAGGTGGGGACTTCCGTCCGGGTGGTTCTCGACTCCAGAGAAACTTCCACCATTACCTCCAAAAGCGAAGACGACTTCTTAACCCTGGCCGCCTCCAGGCTGAGCCGCAAGAAAAGGGTCATCGGGGCCGCCATCGGGGTGGCCATGGTGCTGGTCCTCCTAGTGGCCATCCCTTTGCTAGTCCACAGCTCCAAGACCACCTCGCACTACGAGATGTTGGGCAGCTGCCGCATGGTCTGCGACCCCTACACGCCCCAAACCCATGGGGCGGCTTCGGCAGAGGCAAGCCAGGAGTTGGCCGTCATCTCGCCGCCGCCACACGTGTCTGGAGGGAAAGGAGACCCGGGGAGGAAGGGCAAGTCGGGGATTCGTGGGCCGCCGGGCCCTCCAGGGCCACCTGGGCCCAGAGGTCCAGCCGGGGAGCCAGGGAGGCCGGGCCCTCCAGGCCCGCCCGGCCCAGGGCCTGGGGGATATATCCCATCTTTCTACAGCCCTAAGATTGCCTTTTATGCAGGACTGCGGAAGCCGCACGAAGGGTACGAGATCTTGCGCTTCGATGACGTGGTGACCAATGTGGGGAACTACTACGAGCCGTCCAGTGGCAAGTTCACCTGCCCTCTGCCCGGCATCTATTTCTTCACCTACCATGTCCTGATGCGGGGCGGGGACGGCACCAGCATGTGGGCAGACCTGATGAAGAACGGCCAGGTAAGGTGACGCTCTAACCCTATGAACTTTTCCTTCCTGGGTCATCCTCTGTGCCCCCTCTGTCTCGCTTGTGTGCCATGCTCTCTGACTCTCCCTGTTGTGCCTACAAACAAAGCCTGTTGCATCCTCCCATGACCCCTCCATCAATAGCCTCAGCATCCCAGTTCCACTTCACCTGTAGCCCCTCTGATTTGTGCGTCCTCCTCCTGCTGCCAAATACACCTACCTGCCCACTCCCAATGCTACCTGCTCCCACACCTGGCCCCTCCCAGGCCAAGTGCTAACCACACCCACTCTCATTAGCTCCTCCCAATCTTTCACGCCGACTCCACCCACTCACCTTTTAAAAGTTCTTTTGCCCTGTGGCTTCTGCTCCTTGACCACCATCAGGTACCATCTGCTATGTACTCAAAGCCCGCATTTACTTTATGCGCGGAAACCTCGCCGTACACTCCAAACACAGTGCGTTTCAGTTATGGGGATTGAATAAGGGATTTGTCACAAAGATCAGGAGAACATCCCACCCAGCCTGACCCCAAAGTTAGCAGGGGGCGGGGTGTGATAATTCTTCTTAACTCCAGAGTACTTTTTAGTAAGAAATTACTTTCCTGCAAATGATGTGTGCTTACTTCTTCCCAGGCAGGCTTTCTATTAATTAAGCATCACAAGTATATTGGTCTTACAAAGCTCTACACGTCTTACTAATCGGAGGAGCTACAGAGTACTGAAAATAACCCTGTCTTTATAAATAGGCATTTATATTAAGAGTTCGGGGGGGGGGGAGGCTTAACAAATGAATATCCGACACATAATCCCACTGAGCTTTCCTTGACGTCCCTTTTCCCACAAACAACACCACACAAAACACTACAATATTCGGATTTGCAATCCAGCATAACTCTCCGTTGACTTTAAAAATCACCTTAAATTGGAAGCTGTTTTGGGGTCAAACCTGCTTCCTCTTTTCTCCTCTCTCCATGCTTTGGGGTGCTTAGCTTTTTTAAAAAATTTGACGGGAGGGTTTAATATATGATAAAATATAAAGCAGTACACTGTGCAGAAAGCAATTTTATTCATTATTCCAGAATGAGAAGAGGTTCTCATTTCATAAAGGATCGGAGCAAACTTAAAGGAAAGAGTGATTTCCACATTTTCTTTATACACATATATGGGGCAGGGTTCTACTATCTTTTTAGAAATGCTGCTTACATTGATTCAGTGTGAAATGACTTAAAAATGCCATAACTAAACGAATATTTCCTGCCAGCTTACACAGAATCGTGAAATCTAAACTTTGTGCAACAAACATCACATCCAGTGCACAGACAAACATGCATTCTCCTAAATACGGTGCATCTAGTTAGTGAAGTTTAATAGGATTTGCATTGATCAGAGAGAAATTGGAGCCTATTGAATGCTTGAAAATTGTGTGAATGGACCTTATTAGTCTGCAAGAAAGTCAGTAGATGTAAGATAATCTTCCAGTTTATGGAATGTTATAGAAATTGCTTATTTTATACATACATACACACACATTTGCTAAAGTTGTGTGCCTACGTCTATAAATTGTATGTCAAACAAGATATATAGAATAACTGCATGGGTATTTAAACAGCTTTAAAAATTGCCCACTGTGCATCTCTATTAAGAAATATGGGGAAATATGTCTATCTAAGCTACTTAAAAGATGATATATACATGGAAGTGTGAACATAGTGTAAATTGTGCCCAATATGTATTGCTAAACACTAATTATTTTATTACCTAAACTACATAAATAACAAAACACATATAAGCATATTAAATACTAATTGATTATGATCATATACATCAATTTTGTGCTTTACAATTAAGATTTATTCAGTTATGTAGAATTGTTGCAGGGAGTGTGTGTTCTATTTTATCCTATACATAAAGAATTGTGACTCACAATCTAGCTTCAATTTCACTTTTAGCAGTGAATAACATACAACAATTAACACTTTTCTATACCAGTTATCTGCATGATATTACCTATATATACTTGCAAATCCCATCTACATGCACATTTTTCTGTACTCATAACTATAAATTATTAAAACAAAACTTGGTAACAGTTTCATTCCAGTTACACGTCCTTGTGAACATAATGATTTGCTTTTACATGAACTGCATGTAAGATGTTCAAATGAAAAGAGAACATTTTGCTACGCCATGGGGTTATATGAATCTGAAAGAGAAGCAGAGCTACTTATTTTTTAAATAAACCAACTCCATCCCAAATGCAGTCCAATAACACTTCAATATCTTCTCACATGTTATAGGACTTCAAGTTCATTTCCCTTCATCTATATGTCTTTCTGTCCATCAAAAGTCCCTTTCGCCTTTCTTCTTCAGCTAGATTTCAATAAACTCACTTCCATGACCTCTGCCACATCTTTATATTTATTAGCAATCTGAAGCTGCAGGCAGGTGCAAAGTTTTCAAGAAGCACATCTTATTTGGTTGTTTTTAAAGGGGTGTGTGCATCTGTTTACTGAATGAGCTTTCGTGAGTCCGAAAGGCAAGATCTAGAAGCCATCTGCCAGGAGAGGACTTTTCCCCCCAAAATTAAAAGTAACAGACACACACACACACCTCCGCAACTAGGACAGACACCACATTATTAAACGGGCGAAGTTACACTCAAGTCTCATTTTCAATGCTTTCCATTTATTGAAGATAAACAAGCAAATGATCTGAATTTTTTTAAACACATCCCCGTTCTCCTTCAGCAAGCCCCCACATCCCTGAACTAATGAAAGCAACCTCTCAGGAGAAGGGGATCTGTCATCTCCACAGAATCAATAGGCGTATTTACATATGCTAGCCGAGTTCAAGCAAAAAAACAAAAAAGACTATAGGAGACACTAGCGTTAAATGTGAATGCACACGCATCGATTGCATGTACACACACACAGAGAGAGAGAGTTTTACGTCGGCAAAAGATCCTTGAATCGCCAGATATATAACCCTGCTGTTCAAAATTCTGGACCAGCCAAACTCAGTAAGCGTCTGTTTTTACTACCCTGCACATTGTTTTTTTAAATAAATAAATAAATCCACATCAGAAATGGGGGGGGGGGGCTGTTTCACACATTATGGGTTAGGAGTGTACACAGTGTGACTCTGGAGCAGCAAACATCACACACACACACACACACACACCCGTGAGGCAAACATAGTTGCTTTGAACCAGACAGTGAACACACACACTCAACCTGTAATGCAGAGGTTTTCAACCTTTTGGAGTCCACCGTTCCCTTGACCAACGTTCTTTCTGCGGCACCCCTGTGGGGCTCAGGAGGCCAGTTATATGCCACCCCTTGCCTGCAGAGCCGGCAGCCCCCAACCGCTTTTTGAACACCCTCTTTTGTGGAGTGTTCCCTCAGCCTCCTCTCCCTTCTCCTTGGGAGTCCTCTGGGCAGTTGCAGCTGCTGCCCCTGGTCTCTGAGCTGCCCCAAAGAGAAGTGCCTCCTCACACTGCCCCACAGGGGCCTGGGAAGCACCCCCTGGCCAACCCCAGAGGCACTATTCACCCGAGGAACTTGTAGCCAGGGCAGCTGCTGCAACAAACAGTTGTGCCAGCCTTTGGGAGGCAGAGATGCAAGGGGGCATCAGAGGAGGGAAAGAAGGGAAGAGGGACAGAGGATAGTGTTTCCCGTGGCACCCCTGACCATCATTCAAGGCACCCCAGGGTGCCACGGCACCCAGGTTGAAAACCACTGCTGTAATGTATAGAGTAGCCTCAGGGCATCTCGAAGCACAAGTCAGAATTGGCCCCAGTGCCAGGGAGCTAGGCTGTTGTCCATGCGCCTACTAGGAGTTTGTTGTCTCCACACTTTTAAGAAAGCCCAGCGCTGACCGTTTCATATTCCGTTGCTTTTCTAAACCAAAACATACTTTCCAGGTATTTGACAGTTTCCTCATAGAAGTGATTGAAATGATCTATTTTTAGTTTTGGCGGGTGGGGTAGGGAGATTCTGCAGCCAAATTAATCTCACCCCACTTTCCTCCCTGCAGAAATATATTAGGGAGAGTGCCAATCGCCCCCTCAGCCTGTTCATTGATTTCAGTCACTTCTTTTTTAAAAAAAATGCAGAGCACAGTCAATTTCACCCAGGCAGGCCTTCGATAATTTCAACATTAATATCACGGTTCTGTCTCCCTTGAAAAAATAATAAAAATAAAAAATCAATTAATTTCTAGCAATATTTGGATATCAAAAGTGCCACTAAGGATAAATTTGGAGTTTTTCCCCTGATTGGTGTGAGGGGAAAAAATTTATAATGGCGTGGCTCTATTGATCTGAATGCCAATTTACATCAAGGCAAATCTCCACCTCCGCCTCACCCACAAGTGATACAAGAAAACATCTAAAGACCTAAGTAATGCTGAGCATGATTTATGCTTCATGGGCTTTTTTACACACACCCCCTTTCTTCCCTCCCACCAGCTTAGAATAAAGATTTTCCCTCCTTAAAATCACACAAAAACAACACCCTGTAATAAGAAAATGAACGCTGAGATGGAAGGGTTAATACGTGGCTTTTTTCCAGGAAGATTTTAAATAGATTTCGACACCTTCACAATTTGTGCTTGGTGAAGAGGAACAATTGCCTGTTTATTAAATAATAAATAGCGGGGAGGATAGAAACTGACATGGCAACTGGTAATATTGGTTCAGTCAATTCGTCCCTGGAGACCTGTTTGCAGTCAATTTGTCAGCAAGGACCTCTCTCTTTTTTTATTTGAGTTTTAATACCAAAATGCCTCCTGTCAATTGAGATCAGGGGCGAGCGATACCCCTGTCTTTACCTCTGATCCCAGACTAATAAAACAGCCTTTTTTTTCTTCCCCATCGCTACCCTTCCTCCTACTCTTTTCTCAAATTTATGTAGCTTTTTAAAAAATAAAAATATAAAAGCCAGGGTATTAAAATAGAAAAATCACTGTAAGATTTATGTATAACTGTGGCAATA